TACATAAACATATCTACGAAGAATTATTACGAGGCGATACTATAGTATGATTTAATAGATTTCCCGTCGCATTATCTCAGTGCTTGAGATTGCTTTGAAAAAATGAATATCTACTATATCAGACAGAATAAATATTGACGACCATGGTGCTTGCGACATCTAGAGTGACGGTCCGTGCATGAGTGTCTTTGAGTTTATGTTACATTCTCTGTAGAAGATCCTCTAAAGATTCGTCAGGAATATACAAATGGACTTGTATTTGTGATGTATGTACTCAGTTGGATATCCTCTGATAGCCTTGTCTTGTAAGAGATATGATACAAGCCCTCATGTATGGTGTATGTGCTGGTACAGCGGAGTCTACTCCCTTCTTGAGTACAGTCCGTGTAGTCGCTCACAATATAGGCCACGAGCAATATAGTTCAATAGATTGTATAATGTTATAATAAAGACAATCACTCACAGTACTAGAACCTTCGCAGCTTGCTTACTGTATCCATCTGCTTCCGAGCACACCTTTAATACTTGCTAGTCTCATTAATACCATGCCTGTCAAGCATGGTACATCTTTTACTCCCTATCTTGCATGCGTGACGTTTAACTCTCATTTTCGATCTAGCTTATACGTGAGAATGTACACGTCAAACGTACGCGTTCTGTTGTTACAGATCCTCCTTGCACCCAGCAGCATCACTCTGCGGGTGTGGTTTAATTGGCTTGTATGTCTCACAACACCGCTTACTCACAGGATAAACGAGCTCTGTTTGATCACAGTGAAGCTCTCCGCTATGCAACAGGCGCTTGGATACCTAAGCCAGCTAACCATCGCATCGACACCCTCTCGTCTGTGGCAGGGCTGAGTCCGTCCATAGCGCACACTCCCACGTTGCAAGAGACATCACTTGGGATCTGGTTCACAGATACAGCTGGCGAAGGGGGGCTTGTGCGTCGATGTTAATTGTGGGTTGCATGCATTGCCCTGCCCCTACACACTACTACAGTCCACCTGCGAGAGATCAGCTACGCCTGTCACTCGGGTTAGGGGTGGGCTACGTCTAGGGCTAAGTCTGTGTACAGTTGGTCTCTGGTCTGGCCTTGGTACATCCATATGTGTAGCACGGACACGCTTTAACAGATACCGTACAATGCCTAGTGCTGGTGTTGGGTACCCTGTCCAATCGGCAGGCTATTCAAGCGCCCAGCGTGCTGTCCCGCTTTGGCAGAGCGGCAAACCGGGACGTTCCTGGCCGTGTGCGTGTGCTTGCGTAGCTGGAGACGACAGACAGTATGGGATATCGTCAGAGGTTCGGTACATACGCTGCTGAGGCTAATGACAACCCACGGTGATGGAGGTATACGACTTGGTTCGAAGCATGTACACACAGTAGTGGGGCGGAGGTAAGAGCTTATGCACGTGGTGGATGTGTTGCACATTGTGGGATATTACACAACCAGCCCTGCCCTGGTGTGCACGTTTGCACAACAAGAACACACACGGACCATCAGATTATGCAACGCAAGACTCGACATCACACGCCTGTCAAACCCCTTTCCATGCTCTCATCACCGCTGGTTTAACCTCAATGATGTTTATATACCTACCACTAGTTTGACCTCTATGATGTTTATATATCTAGCACTAGTTCAACCTCAATGATGTTTATATATCTTCCACTAGTTTAACCTTAATAATGTTTATATACCTACCACTAGTTTAACCTCAATGATGTTTGTATACCTACCACTAGTTTAGCCTCAATGATGTTTATATACCTACCACTAGTTTGACCTCAATGTTGTACAAGCGCATGTGTCACATACCGTATAAAATGGCCCGTCTAGTTGCCTGACCACATCTCTGGGCCTAGCTACTTCCCATGTCGTCGTCGTCGTCGCTGTCTGCACGCTCTGGTTGAACGCCTGTGTCGGAGTCATCACTCGCATCCGTGACTGACCTGTTATTCCATTGCTTGTGTATGCGGGGGTCGATGTAGTCGAAACGGAACACATAGGACTTCTCGGTCGCGCACACAATCCGGCTGTGACGGTCCATAACGATAAAGTGGAAGCAGTATGTGAGTACTACGTATATAGTAAAGTGCGCTGCGAAAGGGTTCAGATATGGTACACTTTTGACTTCCTCCGGCCACCCACTATATGCACTGGCAGTGTAACTCAACACTCAGCGTAAGTGCAAGGTTTACCCTTAGGTCACCCCCTGACACCCACCGCAACTACCCGTCCTCATACGCACATGAGGTTGGGACTATTTAATGTGCGGCGCAGAGACCGGACCGGACAGGCCAGGACCTTAAAATTATCAATAGGTCACTACACATAATAGGTGCGGAGTGTATAACTAACGCCGGGAGGCTATGCAGCTATGGTACTGGGCAGTTGATTATTACCGTCTCCACACACGGTATTCACTCTTGGAAGGAAGCCCGGTTCGGCGTACCATAACACATAGTAGCTATACAGGCACAGACGCATGGTACTATCAAAAAGGGCTCTCAGATGACTGTGCATGTGTGCAAAGGTTAATAACTGCATATCCTGCACGTGTATAACACATGGTAGCTATACAGGCACAGGCGCATGGTACTATCTAAAAGGGCTCTCAGATGACTGTGCAAGTGTGCAAATGTTAAGAACTGCATATCCTGCACGTGTACAACACATAGTAACTATACAGGCACAGGCGCATGGTACTATCTAAAAGGACTCTCAGATGACTGTGCATGTGTGCAAACGTTAAGAACTGCATATCCTGCACTTGTGGCTATTCTATCTGTTGATACTTATGGCGATAGTTGCCTATACACACAAGGATGCGTATGTGTATATTTGCCACGCACATTTCTTAATAAAAAGTATGTATGGAGGGTATATGTACATGTATAGGCATAATACATGTGATAACAATATGTTAAGTAGACACATATGAATGTTCACACCGACAAGCACACCCACCTCATGTCCTTGGAGAACGCACACGCCATAACGCGCATCTCCTTGACCCTAGGATGCTTCAGACTCACCACAATCGCCTTAGAAACCAGATCAAACACAAGCACAGCCCCTCCGTCCGTGCCCACGCACATGTACCGTTTGTCATGACTCACATCGAACCTACACCAACCCGCTCCAAACCCTCTAGACTTAATGACGGTGCTCAGGACCACTCCAGTGCCCAAGTCCCACTTCATAGTGTGGTTGTCAGTGGATTTGCTTAGTATTGTATGGGCATCGAGATAGTGCAGCGAGTCTACGGCGGTGTTGTGTTTGCTGAAGAGGGGTTCCGGTGCTCTGATGGATATGTCGGCCACCTCGCTTATTCCGTCACGTGTGGGAATAGGCAACTGCACCACACTCCCGTCCCGGCACCCCACCAGCACGTGCAGGCCATCCCCTGACGCACACAGACTGGTAGGCGCACTCTGTAGCTTGCACAGAGAGAGACAGTGCTTCGTGTCTGTGGGGGGGCAGCCGTTGAACTTAGGGGGCTCCACAGTCAACTGCCATGCTCGCACGCTCCAGTCGCTTTTGCTAGCGGATACGAACACGCCGGGCCGACACGGGACAGCCTCCAATAGTGTGACAGAGCCTACAGATGAGGTACACAGATATTGGTATTGTATGTATATGAAAAGGGTTAAAATGTGTATATGGGGTAAGATGTGTATTTGGGGTAAGATGTGTGTTTGGGGCAAGATATGTGTTTGGGGTAAGATGAGTATTTGGGGTAAGATGAATATTTGGGGTAAGTTGTGTATTTGGGTATGATGTGTATTTGGGTATGATGTATATTTGGGGTAAGATGTGTATTTGGGTAAGATGTGTATTTGGGTAAGATGTGTATTCGGGGAAGATGTGTATTTGGGTAAGATGTGTATTTGGGTAAGATGTGTATTTGGGTAAGATGTGTATTTGGGTAAGATGTGTATTTGGGTAAGATGTGTATTTGGGTAAGATGTGTATTTGGGTAAGATGTGTTTTTGGGTAAGATGTGTATTTGGGTAAGATGTGTATTTGGGTAAGATGAGTATTTGGTATGCTTGCGTTCTATCTGAATAAGTGCACCCTTCATCAGTTAATGAAGGGGTTGGCTTTATCATCCAGGTGCGAGTAGACAGGCTATTAGCGTATGACTCCATGAACGTCACCTAAATAAACAACAAGTGGGAAGGCGTGTACCTGATCCCGTTTGTGAATGGCCGTGATATCTAACCCGCAAGTTCCGTCTAGGGCAGCGCGTGTAACGTTTGATAGGCATGGGTTATAGCAACACTATTGACAGTGCACCTTAACAACACTATTGACTCCGCACCCAAGCCCAATCCATAGGAAGCACTATACGAACGTATGCGGGAGTGCGAGGTAGAAGAACCAGTTCGATGATAATCGTCAAGTGTGATATGAGAAGTTCGTATGTTCTACGCCTAGCAAGAGTGATTTAGGCGTCTACCAACAGCGGCGAGCAGAGGGGTATCCGGTATAATCCGCTTACAACTACCAATGAGTTATGTATAGCATAACTACCTACCACCCCCCTTACAACTACCCATGCGTTATGTATAGTATAATCACCTACCAATCCCTCTACAACTACCTATGAGTTATGTATAGTGTAACCACCTACCACTTCCCCTACAACTATTCATGAGTTATGTATAGTATAATCACCTACCACTCCCTCTACAACTACTCATGAGTTATGTATAGTATAACCACCTACCACTCCCCCTACAACTATTCATGAGTTATGTATAGTATAATCACCTACCACTCCCTCTACAACTACCCATGAGTTATGTATAGTATAATCTTCTACCACTCCCCCTACAACTACCCATGCGTTATGTAGAGCATACTCACCTACCACTCCCTCTACAACTATTCATAAATTAAGTATAGTATAATCACCTACCACTCCCTCTACAACTACCCATGAGTTATGTATAGCATAATCACCTACCACTCTCCCTAGAACTACCCATGAGTTATGTATAGGTATAGTATAAACATCTACCACCCCCTCTACAATTACCCATAAGTTATGTATAGTATAATCTCCTACCACTCCCCCTACAACTACCCACGCGTTATGTATAGCATAATCACCTACCACTCCCTCTACAACTATTCATGAGTTATGTATAGTATAATCACCTACCACTCTCTCTACAACTACTCGTGAGTTATGTATAGCATATTCACCTACCACTCTCTCTAGAACTACCCATGAGTTATGTATAGTATAAGTACCTACCACTCCCCCTACAACTATTCATGCGTTATGTATAGTACAATCTCATACCTCCATGGCCGTGGAACTCAGCAACCTCAGCCAGGCGTCCGTTGGAAAAGACACGTACAGTGTTCTCAGCACCGCCCACCGCAACTACCGCATCCCCACACTCTGAAGCCAGCCAGCACACACACTCCAACGTCTGTCCCAGCAAAGTCAGGTATATATAAACAGCATGAGGGTACATCAGAACAAGGCAGAAGCATGCCACCAATGAGAAAAGGTAGGTGTCTGTTCGATAGAAACACGGCGTCTGGATATTTACCTGGTGCTCGTCTCCGATGTGTTGCAGCAGAATATCGACATGCGTGCCGTCTTGTTGTGCGTCTTCCTCGTACTGATTGATGTAGCTCTCTGTGTCGTATACGTTCAACTGTTGCGAGAGGGGGTACGGTGTTACAGATTGCAGGGCCGTGTGCAAAACTTTGGAATGAACCCACGTGTTCGTTGGGTCTTCCTGGATATCTTTCGCAGGCGTACAGCTCAGCGAGTATATATTCAATGCACGTGTACAAATCAGCGAGTGTTCTTAAACAACCGTTGAACACTCAAACCGTGCGGGTGGTATATAAACTGCAACGGTGGAAAAGGGGATCGTCCAAACAACAGTATACGGAAGTACACGCAGCTTAAACGAGAGCAGTACAAATAAACATCAACACGCTCAGCGAGGTCTTCAGGGCAAATACTACATACGGAGTGGGATAAAGCGAGTAGCCAAAGGAAAAACAGAAAGTATAAGTAGCATTTTTTGGAATTTGAGAGTGTGGGATAGGTAAATATACCGCCGTGTATAGAACATAGGGTACATAAACCAAAAAACGGATATTGAAAACGTACCTGTGTACCTCCGATGGTAGCAATGAGGTTCTCGCAGTTCTCGGCGCTCAAATTGAAGCGCACATCTTTGATTTCCTAAGCGTATCAGCACGTAAAAAGTGTTAATATATAGTTATACATACACACACACACACATACAAACACACACACACACACACATATATATATACATATTATAGCATACATATATACATACATACATGTATACACCCACACACACACATATATATA